ATAAAATTATGGAGAAACATCCTGGAATCCCTCCCAGTGAACCTATAATTGAACTCTTTGCTTTTTGCCTTTGTCTCATTGAACCAATGAATAATTTTGTTTGCTAAACGAGAAAGCTGGCACTTATGTTTCAACACATATATAAACTTATAAAATGCAGAACTACTTGGTACCGCTTTAAAGTTGGATATATTATCACCAAGAGCAGATTTACCAATTGCTTCACAAAGCATCTGCTTGTGAATCAATTGACAGGCATTATTCTTTACATGCAAAGGGTCAGCATGGGCCCTATCAATGAGCCTGCCAATTGGTGGGTCAAACTCTTGCCTACTCTTACATCCTGCAATAAACGCTGTGACTTTGCTACGTGCAGTCTGCTCTGTTACTGGCTTTTTGGTCAACTTTGTTTTGAAAACGCGAACTTTGTTAGCTATAGATAATTGTTGCTTATAATCCCACGGTTTCCATGCATTTGTGGCGGCTGGGCCAAAGGTTTTACTTACATCATGAACACCATCATTGCAAACATTGCCAAAAGTTGAAAAGTACTTTGCACTATTTGGGAGCTCCCCTGCTAGATATGCCAACATTTTCATGTCATTGGGAAGCTCTGCAAATTTAAACTTGATCACCATATTATTAATGTTAAATGAAGCCTTTTCAATTTCCTCAATCTCTTTAGTTATCATTGAAATATACTTGGCAACTGCTGGGCTTGTTTCACTACAATTGCTACCAAAGATAAGGAAATTTTCCTCGCTGCTTAAAATCTTATGACCGATGTTGAGAAAGCTAACTAACCAAGCACAAGACTGGTCAAATTTCCCAAATGGGGCCCCATCCCCACCAATAGCAACCTGAAAGGTATAAGGCTCATTAAACCAATCTATATCAGATGCAGGTAAGGCAGAAAGATAAAATAGTGCCAACCTTGGAAGAAACTCAATCAATTTCCTATAACAACCATCCACCTTTTCTCCACACTCTAAATCATCACACAAAGTATCGCGAACACTATACAGCGTTCCTATTTCAATTTCATTGAGCATAGAGGCAAGCTTGTTGTAAGGGAGTAGTCTAGGCAGTGGGTTTGACAGAACTTTAATACGAGGGGTTTTACTTTTTCCATTTGGGTTTCTCATCATGGACAAACATCTATAGGTTGATCTATATTTTCTCTTGCCCATCACTCCTTTACTGTAATAAACTGCAATACTTCGGAGTTTATTTGCCTCTGATTGTTCAAAGTTATCTGAAGCAGTCTTAAATATCACAGAAAATACATTATTTTTAAATTTCTTACTAGTCGACATAAACTTGACAAGAACTTCCTGTGAGCACTTCTTTTCCACTGTATCCAAAAGACCAACTGAAGTAGGTAAGGGATTTTCGGGGGTTGCCCCATGGATTTCTGAAGCAGCATCAAATGTTTCTGTTCTTCGTCTTGCCATTGCCTGTGCAGATAACCCTGGTTTGTCATTAGAACTTAGAACAGTTGGATTAGCACATCTTGCTTTTGCATTTTTTTAAGAAAGGAATGTCGTTTTCTTCTTTTTGGCAGGTGGAGTGAGCAATTCAGGTTGGGGGTCTCCGCCGACTATTTGTGTTTCTTCTGAGACCTCCTCAATCTGCAGGAAATGTAAAGTAATATTGTAATATATGATGTACATGATGTAATAGTGACAGATGATTTTACTCGTCATGAGGAGAGTCTTGCAACTTAATGGGTTAATTTACCAATCTGCAAATTTCTCCTTGTAAACCCATTGAGCACTGATGTCTCTAATGCACCTGTCATGACCCTTCTACTCTGTCTAATACAAGACAACATGCCAAGGGGAGTCATGCAGCTTAATGGCTTAATTCCTGGTGGGTTATTCAATCTTAATATAAAGCATAACTTCCTACTACTCGAATCTTGGTAACAATGTAAATTTTTGTACAAATGAGCCCTTAATATAAATGTGAAAACTTTCTATGAAGACCCTGAATAGCAGTTTATAATAAATTTGCCTAGATACACCTCCCAATATGAATGGGAAAAAAGCATTTTACATGCACTTACCCTGTATATAAGCCTGTCTAATTTCGATTTTTTCTTCGAAAGTGTCTTGTGTGCTAATGCAGTCTCTTTTCTTAAGCGTTTCTTCTCTTGCATATAAGTGGCAACATCAAATCGACTGTACAATTTAGCCTTTCTTCTTGCCATAGTAAGTCATAGGCTAGAAACTAAAAATGGCGTAGTAATGAAAACTATGTTTCAAATAAAGCCGTCATAAGACGAAATGACGCACGTAATAAAAATAATAAAAACATAGGATTCTTACCTGATAGTGTTTGGTTGATATAGAAAATATTTAGTAGCCATTACACAAATATGAATCAAGTTATATGAAGCCAAATCCTCTCAATTTTGACAACTCGGACTCGGAGTGGCAACACTGTCGATAATAGCTTTAAATTTTCAGCACAAAAGTACCGATAACATTAAAGTATTTGGTATCAGATTAATTTTTGAGACTTCTAGAATCCAACAATGGCTGCCAAATTTTACATGAACGAAAATTGCCCTGTTGCTAGGCACCCAAAGATCAGCTTAAAACACAACATGACTAGGGCCAATTCCCTTGCTCGCGCGGCGCAAAAATTCGAACACGCGCGTGCTTGCAACTTTCGCGGGCACGCGTGCCCGACGTGCAATGCTTAATCAGTGATCCGTGGCGGGATGGCCATTTGGATATTTCACTATTTCAATTAAGGTTGTCCACGAGCAAAGCGGAAAAGTGGAATACGAGCGAGAAAGGCTGCTGGGAACCCTAAAAATCTAATGAATTTTCATAGCGATTTCCAGCAGCCTTTCGCGCTCGTATTCGATTTTACCGCTTTGATCGGGGACAACCTTAATTGAAATAGCTGTATGTGAACCGGGCTTTTATGTTTAACAGCCATTTAAAAGTCCGTGCTTTATCAGATAAAACACTCGAGCTGCGCTCAGGTGTTTTATATCTGATAAAGCACTCCTGCTCGCGTTTTAAATAGTACATACCGCACAGTCAGCATTCACTGTACAGTTGTGGTCTTGTGATAGTTTGAAGTAATGTGTGGTCTTTAACAGTGATACAGTGTATCGTTGTTGTGTATTTAAAAGCATTGAATATTCTGTGTGCTCTTAAAATGATTATTGGCTGATATTGTGGTCTAGTGAATAGGTTCCAAAAATGGGTACAAGTTTCCATACCCTGTACTATTGTCGTTCTGATGTCACGGATATTGGAGTAACGGTAGGATAGAAAGATTAAAAAAGGGTTATGGTTAGATTATCATGTTTCGCGCACAATAAAGCTAGGGTTAGGAATGGGTTGTGATTATGGTCAAGATCAAAGAAATATATTTGTGACCGAAACAAGGATTTATTCATATTTACAATAATGACGTCACAATGGTTAATTAAGTTGGTGTTGAGCTTATAGTTACGATGGATTAGGAGCTCACGAGATTGTATTTAAACTGGGGCACGTTGTTAATGTGGAAAGATGAGGCCGTTTTTTATATATCGTCAAATTAAGGAGCAAGTCAGCATTTATACTACTGATAAGTATACTAGTTATATAGTTAAAAGCAAATATTCTTTCAATTATATATTGGGCTAGTATTCCAAAGGTCGTAGGTTCGATTCCCACCGTGGTCAGGCATATTTTTCAAGCTTGATTTCCACCGTGGTCAGGCATATTTTTCAAGCTCCTATGGATCGTAAAGAAGTTACGGCCTTAGTTTTAATAGACTTATCCAAAGCATTTGATAGCATAGATCATTCAATTCTACTAGTGAAACTTCAAACCATTGGTGTGTCTAAATCAGTGTTGGCATGGTTTAAAAGCTATCTATCGGGACGAAGCCAAATAGTACGTATTGGGTCAACATTGTCGGAAACATGTATTATAACTCGAGGGGTACCTCAAGGATCTATTCTTGGGCCGGCATTGTTTAACATATATATTAATGACCTGCCCAATGTTCCAAAAGAGTCCTCTTTGGAATCTTATGTGGATGATTCGAAAATCTATCTGGCATTTCCAATTCAGGATATTGAAACTGCTGCATTTAAACTTACACAAGATATGGAAAGAATTACCGCATGGTGCTGTATAAATAGTCTGCTAGTGAATCCAAAGAAAACGAAACTTCTATTACTGAGTACAAGTCAAATGCTGAAAAAACTCTCTGGCACAGATTTCCATATAACTGTTCTTGGTGAGAAAATAATCCCACTTCAGACGGTTAAAGATTTGGGAATGACTTTGGATTCAAGTTTGACTTACGACAAACATATTGTCGATACCGTCTCAAAATGTATCACTGAATTATGCCAAATCAACAGAGTTAAGCATATTTTCGACAAACACACTTTATCCCTTATTATAAATGCACTGGTCTTCAGTAAAATGTATTATTGTTCCTCTGTTTGGTCGAACACCTCAAAAAAGAATATATCAAAACTCCAAAGCGTGCAGAACTTCGCGGCACGCGTTATTACTGGAATCAGAAAATATGACCATGTGACGCCTATCCTTCAGCAGTTAGCTTGGCTTCCAGTTGAGTGTATGTTAAAACTCAGGGATGCGGTTATGACATTTAAATGCATGAAAGGGTTAGCTCCGCCATACTTGTGTGACAAATTCGAAATGAGATTAAAGATCCACAGTGTTAACACCAGAAATAAGGATAAGTTAGACATTCCACTGTATAATTCGGCTTCTGGACAGCGAACGTTTCATTATCGCGCAGTGTCTATTTGGAATGAGCTCCCAAATCATATTGAATTGAATTGAATTGAATTTATTACAAAATCTGAATGGCAGCTAAGAGCTGAATTGTACAGAGTTGACATTTAAAATACATGGTAAAACTAATACATATAGTAATATACGGTATATTAAAACTAAAATTTATATTACAATTAAAGTGAATCATTATATGATACGATACTAGAAGGAATAAAACTTTTACTAAATCTTGTAGTCTTACAATTAATTAAGTTAATATGCTGATCGTTACGTAGATTGTAAGTACGTAAGTCCTCGCGTTTATTAGGGATAAGTTCATTCAATTTATTTTCCGGGTTGAGAAGTTTCTTAAAATAGGATTTACATAAATTATTTTGTCTTTGAGAGAGCAACGATATTTCATGAACTTCCAAGGCTTTGCGGTATGACAGGTCAGGACATATTATTCGTATGGCTCGCTTCTGAATTCTTTCGATTTCTTCCTTTAAATAGTCAGGGGAGTTTAAGTTCCAAACCTGGCATGCATATTCAAGCACAGGTCGTATACATTTGGTATAGACTTGAATTAGAGAATTCCCTCCAAGACTGCTGCGTTTAAGCACTCGGAGAAAAAAAAGTCTCTTTGATGCCTTGTGTACTATGTGTTCAACATGTAAGTTCCAACTAAGATCAGAAGAAAAGTACAGACCAAGAACCTTTGCTGATAAAACTGGGGACATACAGTGATCTTTAATAAACAATGGTCGAAGATTAGGGACGTCCTTAGCGAACGAGATAATTAGCTCTTTGCATTTAGAACGATTAAGCATCATATCATTTTCCGTGCACCATTGATCGATATTATTAATAACGGATTGCAGGTTACTTTGACAACCTTTACCGATTGTTTCGGAGAGACTAGTGTCATCAACATATTTCCATCTATCTTTGTAGTTAATAGCCAAATCGTTGACCATGACGAGGAAGAGTAATGGGCCAAGGATTGTACCTTGCGGGACGCCTCCATTTACCAAGGACCAATCAGAGAACGAAGAACCCAATTTCACCCTCTGTCTTCTTTGCATCAGAAAATCAATGACCCAGTTTATTAAGGATTTATCAATATTTAGTAATTGCATCTTTTTTATCAGGATTTTGTGGTTGATTCTGTCGAATGCTTTACTAAAGTCAAGCAGAAAAACACGAACAGTCTCGCCATTGCCGCCTGTGTTCGAATACCAACAGTGGAACATGCTAATTAATGCGTCTATTGAAAAAAAAAGCCTTTTAACGATCCGAATTGCTTTGGGTCCAACTGAGACTTAATGGTATCCATAATCCATTGAAATGGAAATGATTCAAGAACCTTTGAGAGCGTGGCGGTCAGAGATATAGGTCGCAGGTCTGAAGATATATCCGTGACCGAGGGTGTCTTAGGGACGGGAACGACATTTGCTTCTTTCCACTGCATTGGAACTTGTGCTTGTTTAATGGATGCATTAAAGATCATTGTCACAGGTTCTGAAATTTTGACAATCGGGTAGCTGCGAAAGTACATTCCAGTTAAGATCCAAAAGAAATCGACCAAATGCCTGCATATTTGATTGCTTTCGCTTTCTGACCCAGACTTTGGTAATGGTATTAGGGCGGTGATCGTTACTAACGGGGTGTAACAGGACTGACATGTGATCCGATTGTCCAATAGCAGGGAGTATTTCAGGGTCATTGTAACGACGTTTCATATTAGTAAATATTAAATCTAAAGTTGCATTCCCACGGGCAGGTTTCTTTACAATTTGTTTAAGTGACGTGTTTCTGCAAAGGCGTTTGGAGTCGAACTGGTTAACGTCACCCATAACAATTACACCTGCTGTTGGGTAAGATGCTAAAATTTTGTCCAACGAGGTTATGAGGTGATCATACAGTTCGTTATTATCGGCCTGTGGTGGATGGTATACAAGACCAACAACTATGCAGGAATATTCCCGTGGAAGACGATAGGGTCGAAGTTTTAGCCACAGACTCTCGTGATCTGGACAACATAAGTCAGGAAGAGGCACGAATGGGATATTTGATTTTACGAATGCACAAACTCCACCCCCGCGTTGACCAGAGCGGTCTTTTCTAACCAGGTTAAAATCATGGATATTT